TTCACGTTTTCGCGATGAAAACGTCGGCCGCAACCTCTATAATAAAACCACCGGACACAGGTAGTCGGTCGTGGGTTCGTGCCTTGCCAAGTGGAGTTTTCCAGATTTTCTCCACGTTAGTAATACCTAAATAGGGGCCAGTTTCCCTAAAAGACGTCCCGGGAGGCATTTTCTTACTCGGCAGATCGCCCATGTCTTGCGTTGCTGTATACATTGTATATAAAATCTATGGGATTTTAATTGTGATTCGGATGTTAAATATATATATTTTTAAGTATTAAACATTGTTTAAATGTTTTTATTTATCTTACAATTACCGTCTTTTTTATTTTATTTTATATATATTTATTGAATTGATAAGATCTTTTATAATGTAATTGCAATGCACCAATTAATTAAGAATAAATTTTAAATGCATTGATTAGTAGAGGTAAATTAATTAATTATTAATTAAAAATATAAAAAATAAAATATAATTAAACTGTTCTTTCTTGTAAATTAGTTCAGGCGATCTTATAAAAAGTACAGGGAAATTTGACAGCACATTTTGGAAACAATTCAGTTTTATTTTTTTTCACGGCCTGGGGGATGAGATTGGGACCCAAATCGTCGTAAATATGAGCCACATCCATCACCGAAAGCCTTAAAAAACTTATATAATTAAATTAAACTAATAAAAATAGATATTTTACCACATCCATATTCATTGTCTAGGGCCTTTCAGAGGTCAAGGGTGGCCTTGATCACAGGGTCAATAATTCTTTTAAGATCTTTAATATACTAAAAAAAGTAAACTTTTTAAATAATAAAATGAATACAAAATGACGATTTCCTTCTTAGTATACAATAAATTTGTAGCAAATGTTTTTCAGGCCCCAACAAATGGCCGAGTTGGCCAGTTACAAGGCTTTATGTTGGCATATTTATGCAATGCTTTGCATTAAGGGACCATCCATTAATTACATGTGCTGCTGAGCCATTTTTTTGATTTCTTCCCTCCCTGTTGTGTACAATAATGTGCTTTTCGTGATCCTCTCGCCCCCTTAAATTGTACACGTAATATAGTGGACCGCCTCTAAACTATAAAATTTAGAATCCAGGGTTTTTACATTATGACTACTTACAGAAAACATTAACAAAAGTACCACAATGAATATTATACAGTATTATAACGATTTTAGTCTATACATAAATTTGAATGTGAGAGTTTGAAAGTAACAATGATATCAATGCAAAATCGTACATTTAATAATAAGTCACATTTACTGAACATTTTCCATACACCAGGATCGATGGCGCTTTAATTAATTAATTAAGGAGATGCTATATTACTTGCATTAATGTGGATCCGTTCTGCATATCGTCAAATATTTTGTACACACTTTAACATAGGGTTTGTACTCGGTAATGTCGATTCTGTATACAGTTTGACACGGATTTTCTTAGTAACTAGAAAGTAAATGTCACTCGCAAACTTATTCTTTTAATAGAAGCAACATGCAAACTCTTTTGTGGTTCTTAGTAATTTTGTAAGCAACGTCGAAAATTTTATACAATTTGTTCTATTCGGACATGATAATTCTACTTTGTAAAATCATAAAAAAAAATATGTAAGAAAAACCTGTTAACTGACAGATATATAATATTACCCAGAGCAGAAAACTTTTAAATGTAACGTTGCAAGATTTCAATAGAGGGTGGGGCCTCCTAATGACTGTAATAACTGTAGAATGATTGAAGCATATGCATATCCTACTCTTTTTTTTTTAAATACAGTATATATATATATATATATAAATAAGGTAAGGACAAAAACCTGAGTCAAATTTATGAGGTCTATGCACTTTATCGACAGGAATTTCTGTCATTTACAGTACATATTTTCCTCGTTTTTATAATACAGAATTTCAGAAACATTTAAAATAATGGAAACAAACAAGTAAAAGTTGTGTTCTTATAAACTAAATTAACAATTAAATGGACAGAATATTAAGATTATGAAGAATAGGTGACCTGTGTTATAACAATAACCGAATTAAATCCTTACTTCCTTTCATAAAAAAGAGGAAAAAAATGTCATTTAAACTCACCCAAGCTATTAATAAAAACTATAAGATTTATTAGTATAGAAGATATATCTATTGTATAAATTAATCATAGAATATATCTTTATATCTGCTCTAAAATTGCAATACTCTGTAATGATTTTTCTATAATTAGTGACCCACAACAAAGGAAATTACCTGAATGAGCCATTGTTTGTTCTATAACCTTAAAAAAATATTAAGGTACTTTACATTAAATATTACAACTTTTTTTTCTAATATTTATAAAATCAAACAATGAATGATTAAATAAATAAATTATTTAACATATTTTTAGTCTAAAAGTTTGAATTTCTTTAAAAATTGTTTTCTTTGAAAGTCCATTAGTTAATGACTTATTGTTTTCTCTTTCTATCAAGTTTCACCTTATTTAAAACTGGATTACATTTACTGTTTTTATTATATATTCTGTTTGGCAAAGTCCAGAATATGTTAATCTTCTTATACACAACTTAATTTTTAGTAATTAAGCATGAATTTTTAAAAAAGTAACATTAAATGTATTTGCTGAATTCAAAATGAATGGTTATCCAAAAGTCAGTGAACCATATTTTGTATGTTTGAAGTATATTTCTGGATAGGAACCATAAACTAAGTTTAAATCTTTAAAATTTGTTTTATTTTTACAAAATTAATGAAAAAATAAAAAATACAATTGAATCACTGCTGAATGTATTAAGGATACTGATAAGTGTTCTTCTGTAGCCAATGATGGCCCAACAGTCTGAAAATGTTTCTATATTAGAGTTTACTGGTATCCTTAATAAACAGATAGTTCTATTATTAAATATGATAAGTTCATTATACTTGTACAGTATAGTTAATATTAAACAGATTAAAAATATACATATATACTGGTATGAATATGTCAGATTTTTATTCATTATTTTTGAGATGTTATTATGAAACAGAGCAAATGGTCATTTTATATTGTCAGATCACTGATTGATTATATGGAGGGTGGGAAATATTTAATTGAAATATTGAATTCCTGTACATGGTAATTAAAAGTTTATTTGTATATTTCTCTCCATTCTCCTCATATTTTAACTTTACCTCATGCTATTTTCCATGTTAATGGTTAGAAATTATTAAAGCAGTCTGTAATAGTTTGGGCCTCAAGTGTTATAAGGAAGAATTAATTTTTAAACTTTCTTTTCTTCTTTCATAATACTCCAAAATGAATTGTCACATGTTAAGTATGGTCTTTGAGAAGGCCATACAATATCGGATACAGATTCAATCCATTGTCCATTGAATTTATTGTCAAATTATTCTCTTACTGGGAGACTTAGCAAACATCTCTATCTTAGAGACTGTGTAACACTTAGTACAATGCACACATTAACATTTTTGATTTGGTAATACATTCACTGAAATAATTTCATAATTCTTAATGATGTAATGTAAATCTCCAACATATTAAATCTTAAAGTTATCAATCAAACAAGAACATTTTTTATGATTTATTAACATATAAATTGTATTTAATTCTAGCTTTATTAGAGTTAGATTGATTATAAATTAAAATTTTAATTTTTAAGCAATTTATATTTATTTATATTTATAATATAAATTACAATGATTTAAATTGACATTTTAGTATTTTATTTTAATATTTCTCTAAAATATATAGTAGATTTATCTTGGAATAAAATTTGCATTGTGCAGAAAACGCATAAGAAAATTATTGCATCATCGACCGAAAATATAAAAATAAAATAATTAAATCTTTTTATATGGCTAGAATTTTCAATATGATCTTAGATATGCATAGTTTGTGCTGTTACTAAGACCAAAGCTGAAGGAGAAGAAAGAAAGGGCAGAGCAGTTACAAATGTCAAGCCCCACCCCCTCTAAATGACATAAAAATCTATGAATAAAATCAATAAAATGAAAAAAAAAAAAAAAGGCTTATCACTACTTACTGAAAGAAATATTAATTTATATTATGCTCACATCATATTTTTTATATCAAAGATTAAATTTTCGATGCCCTTTTGTGTCCTGGTTATGAGTGAACGATTCTGCTAATACTTCTTTCTGTCTAGATCTAAGATAAATATTACAGCAGTGTTGTTAATCTAGGAATATTACCTCAATTTTCATAGAGATTTTCAAACTGTTTCAAAGACCATTTTTGCAAATAACTAGATCAAGATCCTTCAATGTCCAGAAAGATAAAACAAGTTTATGTTATCCTTAGATCTTTTTAATATAAAACAGAAGTTTTCCCAATTGTGATATATATATTGTCCTTGGCATACATATCTGTTTCAGAAACTTCTGTTTTATAGTTAGAAATCAGGTTAGGAAAAATTGCAAAATGTGTTTTATGCACCTTTTGCCACAATACAGTTATATATTAAATAATAAAAATAATTTATGATATAATAAAAGAAAATATATACTAATTACAAAAATTATACTAACTTAGCATTAAGAATTTTCATAAAATTATTAAGTTTTTTGGCAGATGAAATTTGTTAATGTAGCTTATTAGCTTATTGATGTTATTCAAATTAGGCAAAAATTCATTTGGTATGTATGGGAATGTTTGCTGATTTTAATTTTTCTTATTTATAGAAATATCAGTCTGTAACAAATTGCTTTATCATTATTTTTGTACTCTTATTCAAGGTATATAAGATGATAAATCATTAAATTTGCTATAAACCTTTGTCTATAGGAAAACAAGATTTAATTTTGTTAAAAAGATTTAAGGTACTGACAAAAAAAAAAGGAAATAAATATAATAGCAGAATTTATTACTTTTATTTAATATTTCAGACAGATAAATTTTACATTCCTTCTATCGTTTATACAGTTTTTATCACAGGTTTTTTGATGTTTCCGTCAGATCTTTGGTGTTGTCTTTGCTTTCATTTTAGTAGATTTTGGTCCCCGAGCAACATGGAAAAAGTTATTTTTTTATGTTAGATTTCGGTTTTTTTTTAAAATGCTGAAAGATGTTTTCATTAACATTCACACGAATTGGTCCCCCATATACATTCTGCCTAACATGGCAACAATCTTTTCAAGATGTATACAAATATAACATATATATACAGATGATAAATTAAACAACTGGCTCACTTTGTACAAGACAGATAAAATCCATAAATAATTCTATACTGCGTTAATTTTCTTCATCTCCAAAAGCCGAAAAGTTTGCTTTTAGAGTTTGTTCTTTTATGCGCAACTTTCCTTTTGCTTTTTTCTTTCTCTTCTTGATTTTGTAATTGTTTTAATACTTGTTCGTCCAACAAAATTTGCATGTCGACCTATTGTTTTGTTCCAAAGAGAAATTTGCAATAATTAAAACTTTGAATTTTTTATTTTATTAAATTAAATGCAATTAACTTTTTAAAAAATTCAAATGGATTATTTTTTTTTAAATAAGATAATGGCAAAGGAACACTTACAATTGTTATTTATATTGACAGAAAAGATTATTACTAACCTGCCACTGTTCTAATTGTTGTGACAATTCAACTTTTTGTTGAATGGCTTCCATTAGTTGACTGTTTATATGCATCAAATCAATCCTTGCTTTGGCTAACTCAATTTCCACGGCATTTTTTCTTTAGAAAATAATTTATAATTATTTAATTCTAAAGGCTGTTGATATAAAAAGAATTAAGAAGTTATCTTCTTACCTGGCAACGGCTTGATCCCTCATTTCCCATGCTTTTTTAATAATGTCGTCCTTAGCCATTGTACTGTTGTCGATGTCGTGGCGAAGCTGATCTCTTTCCTCACGGATTGCTGCCAGTTCTGTTTCTTGTACAGACAACTGAATAAGAATGCAACAATAAGATTTCACTATTGTTTTCAATTATAGTAATTATAATGTCTAGCGTATAATCGGAAGTCTTGGCATTTACAAGTTATGCTACCAAGTTGTCGACTTGGCATCGCTTGTTGCAGCAAAGTTAAATAATTTGATAGTAAAAATTACATATTCGTTTGTTGTTTTAATAAAACAAACACAATATAATTATTTTAATTAGATTTTTTAAAAATTGTATCATTCTAGATATATAAGGTGTGCATTCGAAATAATGTGTCTTCTATGGTCATCTACAGCAATAATTTTGAATAATATAACTTATAAATACCAAGAATTATTAGAATTATTATTAAAAAAGTGAGAAAAAATTTAAAAATTATTTTAAATGCATTTATTAAATAGATAATTCAATGCATTATTCAGTTATTAATGTAGCTAAAGTCTGGTTTATAATTAAATTAATTTAGTAATTAAATGCTTTTATATAAGGGATAACAAAATGAAAAGTGATTAATTTCGTTAAAAAACTAATTGAGTTTCATTAATTATAGCAATCAAATTCATTATACTTTAGTGGTAAGTTCCGACAATTCTTCTGTTTTTCTTTTTAATTCCTCTGATTTTTCTTGAAGTTCTTTTTTCAGTTCAGTTATTGTGTTCTTCTCATCTTCTAGAGATTGGCAAGTTAAACAATTCTATAAGAAGATGATAAAAAAAATTTATCAGCTTATCAAGTTTGATCAGAAGGATAAGAATAAACAATAACCTTAGTACTTAAAAAAACTTAAGTATTCAAATAGTATACTTACAGAATCATTAGAATTTAATAAAGTTTCTTCGATAAGTATTTTGAGATCTTTAAGAATGGCACTTAACATCCCAATACGAATTTGGTGAGCTTGTATATCTTCAGGAGAAGCTGATATGCCACTGTCTGCTGAAAGACTATCTTTACGCTGACGAAGCTCTTTACACATTTGCCATAATTGTTGATAAACTGAAGCCAATTCTTGACGAAACTGTAACAAACGTAGTTTAATATTAGTAGAATTATATACTGTATTTGTAAATGAATTAATAAGGATAATATCTTGTGAATGACGCGAATCGTCGCGACGCGACGTCAAGGTTCGCGTAGCCTTTATGCCTTTGTTTACATTTTTAAAAAAGTGTATATATAGTACATATTAAAATTTAATTGATTAATTAGTTAATGCATGTATTTAGCAAAGTATAGTATAGTTTAAGGCAGGATTTAATTAAGCAAATTCGTTTTCTAACGCAGAAATTGCGACGATAAGCGACGCGGCGACTTTTCTCATCAGATTATTGATTTATACTCTCCGGATTTACTTATGTTATTTGATAATTTAAAGAATTAGAGATTATTTACGAATTTCGTTAAAAATTACCTTCCAATTTTGTTCCCCATCGTCTAAACCCGAGAGAATTAATTCAGAATCATCGCATTCTATATCGTCGTCGCCATGAAATCCCATCGAAGATCCTGGATGAGATCTGCTTCTTCCACTCTAAAATATCAAAAACAAAAAAAAAAGAAGAAAAAAAGAATTTTTAGGAATCATAAAATGATATTTATTGTTATAATTTTAAATAAATTTTATAAACATTCTTAACCTGGCTTCCGTTGAGTGAACGAAGTTCGTCGTCGGTTGAAGACTGAGAAGACATTTCGATCTCATTATAAAGCGAATGTTGACCAAAAGAAGGACTGTTACTTCTTCTGAGGACATTATCTAATTTATCTTGAAGCTGATTGTTAGCCTGTCTCAATTCTTCAATTTCACGCAATTGATTTTTTAACTTAAAAAAAAAAAGCAAATAGAAATTAAAGATGCTACTCGACGGCGCGACGCGACGCGTCAAACGAATGTTCTCTAACGCTACACTCCTCAACCTCACTAATCATATTTAAGATTATAATGTTATCCGATAGATCGCGGTCTACGGGTTGGGAATTGTGAAATCTCAAACTCACTTGCTGATCCTGTTCTTTATTGCTTCTTTCTAGCATCAATATCCTTTCACCCGATTCATCTAAAGATAAACTAAGACTTTCACGTTCTTCTGATACGAAACTAATTCGTCTTTCAAGATCGGCTTTTCTTTCGGTTAATAAATTTATCTATAAAATCCAACATAACGTGTTAAAATAGAGGATTTTTTTACAGATTTTTTAGAGAAAATTTCACTTTATTCTGACTCACTTCTTCTCTGAGTCCTTCGAGCTGAGAAACGTGATCGTGTAAATTTGACCTTCTAACGTTAAACTGTTCCCTTAGAGACTTTAATTGGGCTTGGAGTTGTTCTTCAGATCGACTTGCCTAGATAAAAAAGTATGTCAACCTTCAGTTACACCCTTTATAATATATATAAAAGGTGGAGGTGGTGTGTAAAAGTACCTGGCACAGTTAAATATTGAAAAGAATATTAATTTTCATACTTACTAATTTAAGTTGTTCGGTTAGCCTATGATTTTGTTCTGTTAATTCTTGTAAAACTTTCCCCTTGTCTTGTTCGCTGCTTCTTAGTAGTGACTGTTGAGTCAATAGTTCTTTTCTAAGTTGTGATATGTCTGATTGGAGTTCGGCCACTCTCGTGTCGTATTCTGCTTCTAAAGTGTCTAATTTTCGTCTAAGCGCGTGTTTTTCTTGTTCTAAAAGCTGTAAAAATGTAATAAGTTCAATTCAAACTTGTGCTAATTCGCAGTTTCTTATGCGTTACACTTACAGATTTCGTGATGAAATAATGCCTTTAATTTGTTTAAATGATTATATTTTTAATAAAAATTGACAGAATAATTATGTTAAGTTTTAATCGCATAGAATTAAATCTTGCGAAAGTGTCGTTTAGTGTAATTTTTAAAGATTTTTTTNTAAATTCAAATTTTAAAAAATAACTAAAATTAATAAAAAGAAATATTGGCGTTTTTATTAAAAATATTTTAAAAAAACAATCAATTATGTTGTTGTTCTCACGACGCGACGACATCCGTCGCCACTGTTAGCGTCGATGCGTAGGAAGTTAACGCAAACACGTTATATTTAAATATAAAAATATTTATATTTATTCATTCGTAGAATATAAATATATTAAAGGTTATTAATTAAATAAAAATTCCTGCATAGAATGAGCTATTTATTAATAATTTTATTTAAAAAAGTACATTAATTCTTAATTAAATTATTTTGCAATTTTATTAAAATAATTTTCAATTAACTTAAATTATTTATAACTCTTAAAAAGTCCTCATAAATATTTTATCTTGTAAACAAAAGTTTTTGTCAGTGGAGCACATCAATCAAGAATAGTATATAACATATGGCACGCGGGTTATACAGCACTCATCACCTGTTACGTTTAGTATGGGGGATGGAAAAAGTTATTACTACAAACGGAAATATAAATCGTCCACAAAATAAATCAAAACCGGATTTTCTATTTTATTTTATTTATATTTTAACAAAGAAAAGAGAGAGAGAGAGGAAAAAAAATTAACATTACAGATTATTTATGTTATTCAGACTGGAAAATTTTAAAAACAGCGTAACAAAATTACTCCCTTTGCTACAAATTCTGATCAGATGTCATTTGATAGGGTGTGGTCCTACCTATGACTCGACTATCCCACGTATCAGATGTAAAAATTAAGCTTTATTGAGTTAAGAAGCGAAAATATCGTGTATAACGCGCACCTTAAAAAAATTCCATTTCTTTCCGTTTTGAAAGAGTTTAATGTGTTATAAATGTTATTAAAAATAATTATTATCTAAGCTGTTATGTTCCGGTTAGTTTAAGCGAGAAGATTGTCGAAATGACAGTTAGAATAATTGTTTTAGGTGTCCTTGTTTTGTTTCTGGACAATCTCGAATGACCAGAAACACATTTACCGTGACCTCAATGTTCAAGGACTTTTAGTTAATCAATATAATAACCAGGTAACCAAATATTGACCCGTAAGAAAATTAATACTTTGTATGACTTTCTCATCGTATCGTATGGATCATAACCTTCGAAAATCCTTCCCACTTTACTGTAAAAATGTCAAAGTTTATTTATCGGAAAGTCATCATTTCCACCATGTTTCTAACAGGGATGAGCAAACTCACGAAAGAATAGAACAATTGCAATACTTAAAGATTATTTTTAGAAACCAATGCCATCATTTTTTGTAATGTATATCCGATTCTTTGTTTTCTTAAACCATTAAAAAAAATGGCATCTCTAATTAGAAAAGTGTAACGATCAATTAATTAAATGGTGTTTTCTTTTTTATGATAAATGAAGCATTTCCGGTGAACTTTTCTGTTGAATCGTTGATTTATATTAGTGTAGAAGGTTTTCGATTAGTTAATTTCTTTTTTAAAATAAATTTTTTGGAGTGTTATCGACTGTCAACCATGTCCACACTACTTCTTTCCGGTGGAAACAAGAACTGATGCAGAACCGTTTTACTTACTTACATGCCATTTTTTTTTTTCCTCTTCTTTCATACTTTATAGACCTACCTAGATATATATTTTAATATGTATAATTAACTTAGAGATCTTTAACTAAATTAAAATTTGGCCTTCTAATTACGGCAACATATGAAATTTTTTTTACCCCCCACAAAATTAATGTAAACATCATAAGCGCGTGACTTTTTCTGTCACTTTCGGTTAGTGAAGTATTAAACAATTATATAACACTATTTATTTTCATTTAATTAAATTAAATAGTTAATGAAACTTAATTAAAATTGAGTTTTATTTCGCTGTATCTTTGGAAAAGTTCACTTTTTTTTTTATGAGGTGAGTTTGCGTGTCGATCTTCATCATTATAACGTAAACAATAGATAAAATCATCCTTCTAGGATTTTAAGAATTATTTCCTTTAAATTATAAGTTTTTTAAAGCTCTATTTTATTGATAATTTTTTTTCTATTAGTAATTTAGTTGTTAATAATTCGTTTCCTCTCGTTAATTGGCTTTGATGTATTTTAAATACGTGATTAAAATTCGTAAATGAGGCGAAATTAAATGCATACAAAGTCTTCAATCACTCCGCCATTTTAATTTCTTTACAAATTTGAAATATTTGAAGTAATGATTCCCCCCTTTTTCTGTTTTGTAAATAAAATTCAAAGATTAATTCTATATTTAAAATATGAATTTCCTGTTATTTGATATTTTTATTTTCGAAAACAACGTCGTTAATATCTTTAAAACTCATAAAAATTTAAGTTAAAATATTTAAATACGTGAAAATAATTCGTAAACGTTGCGAAAGTTTAGTTTAAATTCAAAGAAAATAAACATAAAATACCATTTTTCGCGTTTTTTAACATATTCCCTATTTTTATTTGCGAATATTTTTATTTAGAATTAATTTACGAGATTCATTTTTGTACCAAAACTATGTAAATTTAAAGGAAATTTATACTTATACTTAAGGTCCGACAGACACACGATATTTTTGATGATTTTCAAGAAAAATCCCTTGTATATCGAACTTTTTTTCTTGGCGTAAAAGAGGAAAAAAGTTGAAAATAACACAACAAAAACCTTTCAGGGTCGTGGGGATTTTTCTTTTCAAATTTTTATAGGAAGTGTATAGAATAATATATACGAATTGGTGAATAAAACGGGGGTGAATTTACTTCCTTTAAGGTGACCAGAGACGTACAAAGATGGTGTACAACGCCCAATGTGACCGCGATACGCCATCGAACTTTGTGCTTCCGCTCTGATGGATTGAGTAATGGTTGAAGTAAATCTTCATTGCAACTACTAACCAAGGTGGTGAGGAATGTTTATCCTGATTCGAACCTGTTCTTCCGTAAATCACACGTCAGTTTCTACCCACTTCATAAGTAATCCGTTGCATACTAATGTCACCAAGTACTGTACAAGTACTGTATTACTCCTACGTCATTCTTTACCTATCTAACTCGAATTTTATTATTATTTTTAAAATAAAAAATCGAGGAAGTTTACAGTAGGCCTAAATTAATTTTAAACTTCAAATAAAGTGTCATTCGTGTTTTACTGGTTGTATTTTTAAGGGTTGAGTTTTTTTTTAATTTTTATAAAAATTCTCCAGGAAATTTTAGTTTTTCGGGTTGAAAATATACATATTTTCGATGTTATTTTAGGAAAATTTGTATTTTTTTTACTTTATCAAGGGTTGTTGTCAGAGATATTTAGAGGCGAACGAAATCGCGTCGCGTTAGGTCGCGCGCTGATGATAAGACGAGAAGAGTTCAAGCATTAAAAATTTAAATTAAAAATTTTATATGAGTTGAAAGGCATAAAAACGTACAAAAATATGTCATCCTATTTTTAAAAGATATAAAATAAATATAGCACTGACATTAATAAATCGGAAGGGTGCCACGCGACGCGACTGAATGCAAATGGTAGGGATGTTGCGCGCTAGCAATGACATTCGTAATAACGTCAGTTTTAAGTTATTAGAAATACAATAAACCCAGTAAATTAATTAATACGAGTAATTACGTCAATAATAATCATACAATCGATCATTATACGGATAATTACGTATAATGTTCATACGGATTTACGACGCGACGCGATTAATAGCGACTGTTCGCGAGGCGATAAAACAATTCCAATACTGAAATAAACTAGAATTATATTACAATTTCATTTAAAGGAGTAAAAAACAATAGGTTAACAACCTAAAAATTAAAATATTAAAGTAAAAATTAAGTAAAACATAGAATAAATGGTCAACACATATCCAACGGTGCATAACTATCTTATATAAAAACATAGCGAACGTTCCCTTTTTTTTCCTTATGTTGTTCCTGTTTTTCCTTGTTTACTGGACAAGTTATTAATCTCAGAAACTAAAATTATCACCCAAAGAATAGATTGTTAAGAAACACACAGCGATACACACACTTAACAACATAAACTTCCTTGTATTGATGATATGGGTTTATCTGTGTTAATAACACAAAAATAGCTCGTGTATGTACGGTAGTATATATGATTATTAAACAGAAATAATGCGCAAAACTGTGTATAAATCGATAGAATAATCGATAATTAACTAGGTAATTGCCTGATCTACATACAAATGTTCGCCTAGAACACGTGATGCTGCGATTTAGTTTTTATCATTCATCAATAATTCTGGGTTAAGTTATCTTAGACACATCAATTCTTCGGATACATTCTCATTATTATTCAATTAGGCAGATGATAGAAAGAGGAAACTATGTTATATATTATTTATAACAATCCCATAAATAACTTTGACATATTATGAATCGTTAACCTTATTATTAAAAATATTTAAGAATATCTGTGCAAAATGGTGATTAGGATGCGAGTTTTATCTGGTTTTTTCGTGACGGATAGTAGTAAATTCTCTTAGTTATTTACGAAGCAGGTATCCTTGTTATAGTGATATAACACACGAAATCGCTTTTAAAATGTTATTATAAACTTTGCTTCGTCGATCAATTAGGACAAAATAATAATAACTGAACTTGAAATTTCAAGTTGTAAAATTCGAAACGTGCCAAAATTTATGGAATTAAAGGCCACTCGAGCTTTTCTTTAAGTGTTAGAAGCTTCTAACATTATTAAAATTTCGTATTATAAGCAAGACTTGAAGAATAAAAGGCCATTTAAGCTGTTTCTAAGTACAA